ACAAAAGAGCTAAAAGTCACCCAGTTGACACTTCTCATGTTTCATGCAATTTTATATAACATTTAGATAGAAAGCAGCATGCCTTTGTTTTAGGATTGCTGCAGCATTCTGAATAATAACCCTGCTCTTGAAGAAAGCCCATTAAAATTCTAAATATCTTTGAAAATTCTCTCCTTTTGTATTGCTTTAGGCAAAAAAAAAATCCAGCAACCTGGGAAACAAAGTTTTTTTTAGTTTTGTAACGTGAGTAAGCATTACCTTCACACTGAGTCAGGGCTGTTTCTTTTTGCTGTGTTTTAGTATCTAAGGTACTGCCATAGAAGTATAAAACTTACATGTTAGCTGTGTTCCAAAGTCTTTGTATTACTGTCAAAGATATATTTTGATTTAATCATAGTATTAGCTGAAGTATTGATTTGTAAAGATCAGTGGAAATACACTTTTTACTGTAACATCACAAGGAAGCTGAAATTTCTTTCCAAAGCTAGCAGAGAACTTAGGCTTTTTAACATGACTGTCAGCATTGATTTCTGTGCAAAGCTGAAAATGGCAGGAATAGCATATGCTGTTTTGTGATTTGGTTTGTGGGTTGTTTTTTTTTTGTTTGTTTTTTTTTTTAGTTTTTACTTAAAGCTATCATACTAAAAAAAAAAGTAAATAGAATAATGCTCCTAGAAATGCCATTACTGTATTTACTTGCAGTATGTTTTCTCCCCCCTCCGCCTCAAGGTCCTACATGTAAATCTTTTTCTTCAACAGATTTTATCTGGGATTTTAAGATGCATAGTGAATCAATAGCTTATTGCAAACAATTTTCAGTTTACTTCCAATTATGTGATGTTTGTTGGGTGGTATGGAGTCATTTGAGGCCTAAATATTTCTTTACTACCGTTTTTATTTTTGCTTAATCTTACATTGCTTAGCTGCTTGCCCATAATTATTTTCCAAAACTCTGCATAACTGTTCAACTTCTCCCCAAAGGTGAACCACAAAAAAAAGATTAGTGGCATCAATGACTATAATTTATTCCTTGAGTAACACTAAGTACATGGAGTACTTTCCAGCCACGTGTGTTCATTGTTTCAGCTGATGTGATTTATATGGTGAAATATGAGTCTGGCTCTGGTAATTGAATGCTGCGTCTTGGGCTGCAGGACAATAAATGAGATTAAGCTGAATTACGTTTCTGAAGGCAGAATATACAGCTGTTAAAATGGATGGGTTTTAACATTTAGCTTCAGAAAAGCTACTTCAAAAACAAACATTTTCTGACTAAACAAGAAGTAGGCTAATGTACATTCGCAATGTTTGTTATCTTAAAATCTGACTAAATTATGATTCATATAGCTGAGCCCTTTTCATCCTTGCATTGGTGTCTGTTTTCCAAAGAAGCGTTTTGAACATGCTTTCATAGTCTGTTTTAAAAAATGAGAATCAAATCAAACTTCTCTAATGGAAGTAAAAGCAGTAGTCTTATTTTCCACTTACATAGGATTTTATACTCTGTTTCTATTTTTTAGTTTGGCAGTGTTTTTAAACATAATTGTCTTTGGGGAAGCTCTGGAGTGGGTGGGGCAGATACAATTTCTGTAGTATACAAAATAGTAAGTAGAATTTATGGTGTTATTAAAGCCTCAGTTTGGCAAACTGCCCTATAGTTGCATCATCCTGTAATCATTATCTTTTTCTGGCTCCTGACCTTACTCTAAGAAATACCATGCTTTTAGTTATCCTCTCACTATTAACTTGTAATTTGATTTTCTTATTAGATTATTAACAGGAAAAAAGCCTTTGTTTCATATTAAAAATGAATATTCTACAGTGTATTGCAGCCCCAGCATATGACTCTTCAAATAATCAATATAGTCCAGTGTTTGCTACATGCTCAATGCTTGCTGTTTATAACAAAGGGCTGCTATTGGATTAATAGCAATAGTACTGCACACTTACAACATTTTTGGTCTCTTGCTCTTCATATATTTTTCCCAAACGCTCATTTTAAGAAATGCTCAGCTTTTTGTCAGAACCAATGCTTTGACTCTGCCCTGCTGCTGAAAGATGTTGCACAGAGAAGGCAGTGGCCAGGAGATTGTTGTTTTTGACAGCAGCACTAAAAGCATGAAATGTTTCTGAAGGATTGGCAGAGCCTTGTAATACAGGCTGCAGGAAATGACTGTATTGGGTGTGGAAGAAAGACACTCTCCAGATTTAACACACGAGCTACTGAAATACTTGAAAACGGAGGACAGGAAATGGTATCATAGGATAGGCTGAAATGCTGTCCAGGACTCCGTTGTTTATACAAAGTGTTATTGTTCTGGAGTTTAAATTCAGCTCTGAGCATGGCAGCTTTGGCATATGGAAGGCAACGCTGACAGCCTAGTGAGTAATAAAATGCTATTTATCAGTAGATTAAAGCCCAGACTTTCCTTTTTATAACAGTAAGTTCTTTCAATGTTCTGGCATTTTTCCTGAAGGTAGATGATAATGTAACAATTTTCTAGATATAATTTGGTGAAAATTTTCTAATGAGTTTTCCTCTCACATCTGTTTCCCAAAGCACTTTTTTTACCGTGTTCATTGTGCATTATAACCATATAAACTTTATAACCAATGTTTGCACTTATTTATAATGGATAGGTATTAGTGCATAACAGTATTTAACAATACTATGGTTCTGTGAAAGCTGTCTCTCAGTTTCAGGAACCTTAGGCGTAGCACAGAATTCTTTTTTGGCTGGTTGTTTTTTCTGTGTGACCTAGCTGTGGCTAGCTTTCTACTAACTGTCAAGTATATTTAGCTTAGTATGTATTCTCAGCTCCAGCCCAACTTTTCAGCCACTTTAACTAAATTTTATCACTAACCTAGACACATCCCAGTAAATTCTGCTGTTTTCTGCTGAGGAGTGTAGATGCTTTAATCACAAAATGAGGTTTTTTTGCTGTGGTTTTTAATACAGAAGGAAGAATGCTGACATAAAAAGCTTTTTCTTCTTTCTGCTGTCTGTGCTCCTTCTTTCCCCTGTAACTTCTGAGTTAAGTGGTGGAATTCTCAGAAAACACATTCCCATACCTCCTATACAGATGCTTCAGGAAAGTACTAAATTAAAATAACTCTTCCTTGCTCTGTTAACCTTGAAAAACTCAAGGGACATATCAGATCATCCATGTATGGCGAGGCTCTTGGCACAGGAGGAAATCCACAAAGCAACTAAATCCAGAATTTGAAATCCTGGCTTTAAAGTCACAATTTTACTGCTCATCCATATGCAAACAAGAATATTGTGGTTGCAAATTTCAGTAAGTTCTGTGTACTTATACTTTATTTCTTTAAAGATACTTAGCAATAACTTCATTTCCAAAAGCCCCTTATAAAACTCAGTCGAGTATCTTCAGCCCAAGAGCTTTGCTACAGTTCTTAAATTAATCATTGCTTTGTTTAAGTGGCTAAAATGGTTTGTAGGGTTCTGTTGCTGATGGACAGAGAAAAGATGAGGATTGCATTTGGCAATTCCCCCACCAGGTAACAAGGATCAGGAGCAATGGAGGAGGCTCCCTCAGGAGCATCCTGGTGGATTCACACCTACAGGAGCTAAATTATCTCAGCAGCTTCACCTTTGTGTTGTGCTAATACTGATCCATTCTTCAGTGATACTGTTCCTCAGTCTTGCTGAGCTTTTAAAGGCATTAAAAATTTTACTGAAGGTAGAATTTGACACTGACAACATTCTTATTTTAATTGCTTTAAAATTAATATGTACTTAATCGAATCAAATTGGATTGGGCATAGGGGCCTATTCAAATTAGAATAATAATACAAAATTCATGCCCATATGGCGCTACAGGCTATTAGAAGAGAATTTCCCACACAGTGAACTTTGTGTAATAGACTTTTCCTTGAGTTGTGACTATAAAGACTGCTTTCAGAACTGCAACATTAGCCTAAACACAATCTTACTATGAATTGTACTTACTGATACACACACATACACAAGTTCTTTAGTGTGAACTATAGGGTTCCCTGTTGCAAAATTCCCCTTACTGTTTTTTTTCTATTTGTAGCTGAATAAGGTGTGTGTATTTTGGGATATATATGGCTATAAATATGGCTATAAATATGATAAAATCATTGGAATGTGGCTCTAAATTTTTTTTTTCTGATAAATATATTTTGGTTAACATGATTGGTGCTTTTGTCCGTACAGGAAAACAGAATATCAGGCACTTAACTGTTCTATGGTCTTGTTACTTTTTTCTGATCTGAGTGGAGGCTAAGGGCTGTTATCTTGAGCATGTTCAGCTTTTGGGGATTTCAGTGGTGGATCCAGAACCCATAGACTGGCTTGTCTAGTTCTACGTAGAATGAGTATCGGAAGTAAGTCAGAGAAAGACCTGTGTAAAACAAGTCAATGGACAAAAATGATGTGTATCTCTGTCTCCAAAGCTTGGAATTTGACAGGAAAGGATTTGTTTCCCTCAGTGTTGCTAAATATAAAAATCAGTCTATATTTTTTAGACTGAAATTAATTCTACTAGAGAATAGATACTGGTGTGTCCTCTATATCATGAAGATATTTGAAGAATATGTTTTAGAAATAGAGACTTTAAGCATTGAATGCTATTTCCTCACAGTGTGGGGGCGGGGGTGAAGTGGGGTTGTGCAAAAGCTTGCACTTTTTTGCAAGCTCAGCCTGGAGGCACTTCAAAGGGCAAAATAAAAAAAAAATACAGCAGATGTTATTAGAAATAGTTCTTTGGCAGTATGCTCTTCTCAGCGTTTAAGCTGCCATAGTGTGCCCTTGAGATGATAATACCTTTGCATATTGATCTTCCGCTGAAAGTGGGTTTTGTGTGTTCGATTAGTCAATAACGTGTCTCTTGTGAGAAGTTTGTTATTGGAGGTTCTACAAGAGAAGCACTTGGTAATTTGTACGTGTGCACCAGAGCTCTGGGTTGCCGCTCCTCTTTTGTCTTACAGCACGTTTGGTTTTCCTCTTTCAGGAAATGGGTTTGTGAATTCTCGAGCTTCACCCAGTCTACTTGGAACTGCTGGTGGTGGGAATGGCTTAGGCAAAGTCATGCCTACAAAGTCTCCACCTCCACCTGGAGGAGGTAATCTTGGAATGAACAATCGCAAACCTGACCTCCGTGTCGTCATCCCACCCTCCAGCAAGGGTATGATGCCACCATTGGTAAGTTACAACATTTGTTCTATGACAGGCTTTGTGAAAAAGAAGCATTTTATCCACAACCCCAGGCAGAAACTCTCTCATCTGCTTACTGCAGGTTACAGCACTAGAAAAGTGTTTGTATTCCAAAATGTCACTAATGAAGATCTGAGTTATGAGTTGTTACCTTGGGAGAAGTTAAATTCTAAAGGATTTTTAAAAGTATAAAATAGCAGTCTGATCTAAAGGTGTTTGGAGTGCGATCTTGAAGGATTTTGTTGTTTGATAGGATGTCTCACTGCCTCGGTACCAAGGGCTTTGTTGGTTTGGAGGGTATGGGGTTTAGAAAGGGTTGTGTGTTATTTGGAGGAAGGGCTGATCCTCACTGCTGGTGTGAACTGTATTAACATGCCCTAAAGCACACTTCGTACCTGTTCGTCCTGGGTCGTAAGGGTTGTGGGGTGTATAATGTTGCTTCAGTGGTAATGATGGTCTGAGAGAAAAGCTTGTTTGATGTGGTGTGCTGGAATGCAACCTTGTGTGTCCCATGGTGGATGTCATGTCTTCAGAGAAGGCATAAAAGAGTGATGAAGGTCAGGCTTGGTCCCTGTGTGTGTGCTTTTCAATACTACATGCAGCTTGGCATGTGAGTAGTAATGTTTGTTCAGCCTAGATTTGGAATAGCACACAAGTTTCGTGTCAGCATGAGGCAACCACAGCACTGCGACCAGAACAGGTCTTTCAGGAAGAGTTGCTCTGGTTTTCCTTTAATTTGGTTGGCCAGATCCTTTGGTGTTTAGTCTTTCACTGTGATGTAGAAATTTGAAACACCTATGTGTACATTTTCTGTGTACGGAAGAATGAACCATAACCAAGATGAGCAGGATATAAATAATACCAGTACTCTGGGTATAATTTTTATTTGTCTTTAAGATACCACAAGTGCTTACATGTGCTACTGGCATTCACAATGAATTGCACAAAATTAATCGAAGTAACAAAGCTATAATTATCCTCAGGGTAATGATTGTTGAAGTTTTAGGTTTTTCTAGGAATACTAAAGTGTAGAAGACATAGGGACTGCTCTGGTTGATGAAGTGGAAGTCACACTTGGAAATTAATTTGAAATAGATAAAAGAAGATGCTTCTGTTAATGCAGTTGTTCTAGTGTTAGTGGTGTACAGTACCTATTTGCTGTTGGTTGTTAACACAACACTCAGTTCAGGTTTTGTCTTTTGAGGCAGTTGGGAGGAGATTTCAGAGTGGAGATGCTGGGATGGTATGATGGTTGCATGTGACAAACATTTTGTTACTGAGCTGGGTGTTTATTGGATCAGTCCTAGGCAGAAGCTGCTGTGGTCCATTTCTAAGGGTGTTGTCAATGTGTAGCTGTGTCCTTGTTTTTACTAAGCTCTTTCTGCACTAATTTTGCCCAAGTGTGTCGTCTTTCAGTATGGTATTTTTTAATTGACCCAAATTACATGAAGTATTATACTTCCTTGTAGCATTATTTACAGAATCAGGTGACAAATTCACATAATTAATAAAAATAAATAAAAATCCTGAAGCAGAAATGTGACTTGTTCTTCCATTTTTGAAAGCAATGCTATTTTTAGTAACTGTGTTATCCCTCTTGTTTGCCGAGTACAGTCGGAGGAGGATGAATTGGAGTTGGTGAGTTTGGGCTACCCTCTGTTGAGGGAGAGCAAGATGCTGAAAATGTCTTTTACTACAGCTTTTTAACTGTAGTTTCATTACATATTTGAAATGATTCCAGTGTTCCCTTGGTAGCAGACAAAAATACATTTATTTTATCAAACTCAAAACCCGACCAATTCAAGTTGAAAACCAATCCAAAGTCAAGTGCTTTCCATTTGTAAACTATTTTTTTCTTTCCTGAAAATATTTGTTTTTCTTGGAGGGAACATTGGAAAAGAGCCTTACAAAGTAACTGTCCATGTGTATAGGATGCTTGCTGTCTTTAATGTAAAATATAAAGAACCACTTATCATCCCTGAAATTATTGGAATATTTTTAGAAAGTGGCTTCACTCATGAAGTTCTTCAGATTGTAACACAAGCTCTGTGTTACTTCTCTTATTTTCAAGGAGATTACATCATTGCTGATGAGGTCACCTTTTTGAGGTTAGGAATTATTTCATCCTGCGTGAGATTATCAAAGCACAGGGGTGTTCCCTGTTTACCAAAGGGAACAGAGTTGCAAATGAATAATTTTACCTTTTTTTCCAGTGGAAAGAGATTCTGCTTTTAAAAGGAGACTCTTGGGATTTGTTTTTCTCCTATTTTTTCCAAAAGGTTTTAACATTTGGCATTCTCTCTGGAAAATAACATAAGGCTAAAATAATGCCAAACTTATTTTTGGAGCAATTTGCAAACTGTTGAGCTACTGTAGCACAAACCATGCAGAAGATGCTGCATCAGAGTGCGACAGTAGAGGCACCAAGAAATCTGCCTGTTAAACACCTTGGTTTGGTTTTGAACATGGACCTGTTGCTAATATGAGGCTCTAATTGCATGTAAGCATGGAAATGTAGTGATTTAGATCAATTTCTTGACGAATGCATGCTGTTGGTTGATTTTTACCTTAAACATCAGTGGTAGATTTACAGAAGTATGGGGAAATAATTTTTGGAAGTCAGTATTGAGGTTTCTCTGGTTTGTTGGAAAGACTTTTGAACTGAGCAGTTAAGCAGCCATCGTGCCTGTTCTTTTTACCTTCATAGAGAAGTGTCTGGTTTCCAGTGCAAGAAATAAAAGCCCTAACTCGACATAAAAACTCTTAACCAGTTGCAATTGCGTTCAACACAAAAGCCCTTGAATGTAAGGTGTTCCTACCTGCTAGAAATGGCCACGCTCCAGGAAAGAGCGCGGCGTGCTGGAGGCGGTGGGTGACGGATAGTGCATGGAGCGTGGGCCCTCTAGTGGAGCCCAGCACCGGGCTGCTCTGCTCTGCGGGGGGAAGGCACCACGCACACAGCCAGCCCAGCTGGGGCCCCCTCAGGCCAGGTACAGACCTGCCAAGCGACCTGCAGCGCTACAGCCCTTAGGCTGCTGGTTCCTGGTGCCGCTTCCAGTGCGCATCGTGCCTGCGAACGTCCCTGCTGGAGGGTTGGAACTGAGCACAAGGACATGACAAAGAGCTAGGAAAGGTGGCACAGCATGAAGTGAAGGTGTGGGATTCTTCCCATCGCTGCTGTCATTTGCACCAGTTTAAAAAAGAGTTTTTAAAAATCCTGAAATTGGTCATGAATCTTTGGCTGAAACGCTGAGTACAACAAATATTAGACACATCTCAATGTTTCTGAGTGTCTTTGTATGGCTGAGTGTTCAGGAATTATATTCAGAAATAAATTACCTCAGAAAACCACCTTTATTAGCCACTCAAAAAAAAAATCCCGTGGGGAAATCCTTTGGTCTGGATTGTTTCCCAGTGTACTCCTCTTAACTTTTCCATTATACAGTAATCCCAACTTTATAGGCTGCCATCCAAGAAAGCTTTGGAAAAAGGTCAATTCGTGACAGACACAAAAAATCTGCTCTAATAACATATCTTTATGCCAGATAAACTTGGTCTAGTGGAGATTTTCAGAAGTACATAAGTGATTTAAAAGGGATAAATTGCATAGAGAATCAGTGGGACTTTCTCTGTGACTTAGAGCTTTGAACTATGAGACCTCTGAGGCACAGCGGGTACATCTGCTGAGCAAAATGCCAGAGAGCCTCCGAATTCCTACAAGGCTCAAAAGTTCTGCCTTTCAACATCAGCCAGACAAAACAGAGATCATAAACTGCTAGGCAGTGCAAGGTTGGCACTAATTTTAATATGGTAGCCGTGATACCCTTTTGTCTTTAAATTGGAAAGATACAAGCCAAGGATTGAGAACCCTCCATTTATCTTCACGAGTTTGAGCTTAAAACTGAACCCAGCTGGGTTTCTGCACCTGTCCATTCCGTCAGTGCCAGGGGAATCGTGTGTTCTTAACACTGCTCCCTCAAGATCAGGGGAGGAAAAAGTGCTGCTGGTATTGAGGTACTGGTATACCTGCCCAGAGCATGGAAAATGTAGCAGTAGCTTCAGTCTTTTAAAGCTAGGAAATGGAACTTTACCAAAGAGATGAAAAACTGCTGCTCTTGTAGCAAGTTTTTTCAGAGCTAGAGAGAGGTTTATTGCCTTAAAACTGTGTTTTCAGCAGTTTGAGACCCAGCTTGCTTAACCAGGAATGGTTCTGTAAGAATGCAGAAGTACAGGGTGTAGAGACTTCTGCTGCTTCTAGTATTTCTAGGACTTCTGTAGGTAAATGAGTACCTGTTGTTTAATTAAAAAAATGTAGCACTTCTTGTTCTTGACAGTTTCTGACATGGCTAAATGGTGTTGAACTACATATTTTGAAGAAAGCTTCCAAGCTGCCTCCATGAAGAGCAACGATCTGTGACAGAGCAGCTTTACTGTCTGGTGGTTTTCACCACAGTGTTTAATACAAAGCTTTCTAAACACCAGATTTGGTTAAAGAGCTTAATTTGACTGTTATGTTTGCTGCAGATGTTCGTTCCAGTAGATGGGTAAGAAAGGCTGTTATTAAAAAGCCACATGCCCACAGTTTGATAACCTGAGACACACCAGTTTAGCTGTTTTTCCTGTACAAAAGCACAGTTGCTCTGTGTGAACTCAAATGTCATTTGCTTTGAAACATATCTGCATGATAACAAGTACTCTCTCAGTTTCTCAGGAACCATGGGAGCAGCAAGATTATTTTATCACTGAAGTCTTAACACAAATATAGGAGATCTCTGTTCCTTGCAGGACAGGTGTAGTCAGCCCAGTGTCTAAACTGGCAGCTAAACTTCTGAAAATTGGATAAACAGCTGGGCAGTGGGAGACTTCTCTGGTGGAACTGCACCTCACCACCATCTGTACTTAAACCTCTTAAAAAATAAGACTAGAAACTCTTAAATCACTTAAGAACTTCTGAGAATTATTGTGTAGATCCCTAAGGAATTGTGTTTGTCCTACAACTCTAACACAATTGAAATCTGCATGCTTGGGAAGCGGACCAGTAAGTTGTGATGAGTTTTTCCTTTGTTTGCCAAGATCATTTTGGTTGCCTTGAAATGTTTTGGCTTGTTTAGAAAATCTATTCTGGCGAAAAGAAAGTCATCGTAACCAAAAAAAATAAAGCAAAGAAACACATTTTAATTGATGCTGCTTTTATATTAGCACTTGATCCTCCATTTTTGAACTGATCTCACAAGATGTGTTGTTGCTTCTGATCCTTTGTAGAATACCCAAAGGATAAGCAGTTCTCAGTCTACACAGCCTCTTGCTACCCCTGTGGTGTCGGTGACAACTCCCAGCTTGCCTCCACAGGGACTGGTGTACTCGGCCATGCCCACTGCCTACAACACTGGTAAGTTGGCTGTGGGTGGGGGGCTGGATTTGGCAGGTGCACATGGCTTTTGTCATTCCTACGGCCAGAAACTTGCATTTCAGTCTTGTTTTTATCTTCCTGTTCCACCCAAACGAAGGCTCTTGCTCATCAACGTGAGCGTTTGACTTGTAAGTCTCAACATCTACAGATTTTGCATCAGAAGAAGCTTTCAGTGGGTCAGGTTGCACCCAGCCAAATACAGAGGCATACACTAAAGCACGTTGAAGCTGTCTGTGGGAGAGCAGAACTGCCTCCTCACCTGTGAGCTCCTGCCAGCAGCAGGAGGGAAGCCGGTTCCACTGGGGCTCTCGGTTCACAGGAAGCCCAGACAGGGCCCTGTGCTCTTCAGCAGTGCCACTGAGAGTGAGGTGGGGGCTCCTGGGGAGGCACTGTCAGCGTTTCATCACTGCAGGTCTCTGTTGTCTGAAGGACCTCAAAGCTACTTCTTATCCAGGATGGGTGTGATGCAAGAAATTTGATAATATAGGTGATAACTGGTTTGCCCATTTACAAAGTAACTCATGATGTGGTGCCTCCTACTTTGTCTCCGTGCTAGTAGAGATTATTTCGACTTCAATCTCAAGGTTCTTCATTTGTTACAGACCCTGTGTGTAATCAGTGAGGGAATTTTTGTAATCATTTCCTTGGAAGGCTGCAGCCTTGGTGGTGTCAGGTTGATTACCCTCTGTCTGTGATGCAGAGCTTAATTCTCAGATGCACCTGCAGAAAAACTATGTTGCAGATAAGAGTCAACTGAAGTTGGGGTTAAAGTAGGCATTGGTTAAAACTTGAAAAGGAAAACAAAGGAAATAATGGAGGAGCTGCAGGGTTGGCTTTGTGCTGTGTTGGGGTTGAGGTTTTGGTAACTTTGGGGTGCAGGGGGGATGGAGACACGCTGCCAGGGTGACTGTCCATCAGGAGCTGCCCCAGCGCGTTCCAGCCGGCTGGTCTATTGCCAGTGACCAAATGTTCTTGCTCTCCTGCAAAGGCCAGGACAAATCCAAATAAAATCATCAAGGTTTGTAGGAAACAGCCAAAACTTGAGGGATACAGAGGTTTTGTAATTCTCTTTGGTTTCTGCAGGGCAGCATCAGCAGTCTGTAATGTTGGAAGACTGAACAGACAGAGCAGCAATCCACTTGTAATATTTTTCCCCTCAAAAAAGATGGGATTTTGTACCTTTTCTCTGCCTTTTTTAGCTTTGAAAGTCTTCCCTACAGTTTTTAGTTTAGACTTGTATCCATCTTCCAGCCAAACAAGTCGCATTGTTTTGTAGTTGTATCTTTTTGGTTTAACTGACTTTTCTTATCCTTCAGCCACCTTCTGCTCTGGTTTGCCTCAGAATTGCTGCCCCCAGGACCCTTTAGTGAGCAGCAGTAAATATTTATCCTGTGGTAGCAGCCAGCTAAATTACCACTGCCATGAGGGGCTTAAAGCCTAAAGAAATGAGCAGGGGAAAAGGTGGGGTTGCAGTAACAGTGCAAGGAGCAGAGTGAAGAATGATGCTTGGTGACTTGTGTTGGATTATAAACTCAAATATCACTTTGCTGTATAGACAGATCTTGGTTTGATGCTTGCCACAAAGATTGTTCATACGTTGCATTTCCTGGCTGTTTGAAGTAAATAGTTCTGGTCCCTGCTCGTAAGACCCACACTGAGTTTTGCTTGTGACCTAATCAGTCCCTTTGTTCTCTCCTGCAGTCTGGAGTCGTTTCAGGAACAGTTTTTGTGTATCCCCCATCCAGAATAGCCCATAAGCCAATGGCTAAAATGGGCTAAAACATCAAAAAGATGAGAGGGGCTGTAGCCCAAATCTCAGGAAGCAGCAGAGACAACTCAAACTGGTGTCCAATGCAATGGGCAAATGGCATTATCACTGGGATCTGGTTTTAAAAACCACGCCATTTCCTTTGATAATGCAATAATTTGTGAAGAACTTTTAGCCTTTCAGACACTTTAAAATAATTTCTATTAGATTGAGCCTTTCAGGGGATTTGGAAAAAGAAATTTGATGTTGAAACCAAGCTGTCATCTGGGTATTCTCAGGGTAGTCACCACTTAGGTAGCAATTACAGTTTTGAAATTCAAAGACTAAGATAAAATTTCGATGCCTAAATTGTTTCTCTGGATTGATAGGGTTTTTTCAGGGCTGGAGGGGATAGATTCAGCTCCTAAGTCCTTAATTAAAACGTTGGATCTCAGTTGTGCACAGATATGTTATTGTATATAATTTGTTTTGTTGGCAAAGTGTTCTTACTGCAGGTTGCTGGAGAAAGGGCCAGAACAAACTGAGTTACTTGTTCTAAAAAATGTCTCGGATTTTTTAAAAAACTACTCAAAGCCCACAGAGATGAGTTAAATATCAGTTCACTCTTGAGTGGAGCATGTGTAGCTGTAAATTATATTACTGGCTTTAGGTCGTTTTGCAAAGGCACAAGCTTCAAAGGTGTCTTGCTGCTAGGGTGGCAGCAGGGGTGGTTTCCCTGCTCTTGTCTCTGTGACCTTTCTTCTTGCATTGTGTCACTGGGACAGAAACCAGTGTCCTGCTTCATCGTAGGGCAATGCTAAAAAAAACCCAAACGAGGACCAATCAACCCTCCAGACCCCGAAACACAAACCAAAGTAAAACACAAACCCTATTTAAGCATAGTTTTTGGTTCATACTCTGGCAGTATAAAGTAAGTTTGGCTGTTAGCATTTTGTCACATTCTCAAGAGACTAGAAGCTATTTTAAGGAGGTTGTATTACAAAATAATTAAAAGCAGAGAAGTGTTTGCGGCTTTGTTGTGAAACCTGCAAGAGGAGGGTGAGTGCTAAGGACAAAGTGAAAACAGCTTCAGCTCTGTGAATGAAGTGAGAGCTCAGCCCAGCCAAAACTAACAGCCAGTCCTTCACTGATGGCTAGGAATATAGTGGGTTTTCTAGTAGCCCTTTAAGTTCTATTTCTTTTGGTGTTGTTCAAACTAAAGATGTTTAGTTTATTTGATAGAGAGATGACAGTTTGATCAGACATGAAGTAAGGAGTGAAGCCTCTGTGGGGAGAGGGAGGATGCTGCAGAGCTGGTGCTGTGGAGGGGTCAGGGAGGCTCCCGGCTGCAGTCACCTTGGTGGTGGCATCCCTGGGGCACCCAGCCCAGCCTGGGCCTCCCTGCCCAGCTGCAGCCACACGGGGCACCACAGAGTCCTTCTGGCTGGAAGAGACCTTGCAGATCATCGAGTCCAGCCATTCCCCAGCACTGCCAGGGCACCACTGACCCACGGCCCTCAGCACCACATCCCTGTGGCCTTTAACCCCTCCAGGGATGGGGACTACAACACTGACCTGGGCAGTGACCAGGACACTGCCCTGGACAAACCTTGTGAGGAAAAATTTGTTCCTTGGGTCCAACCTAAACCTCGCCTGGCAAAACTCAAGGCTGATCCCTCTTGTCCTGTCTCCTTACAGCAGCCCCTGCCTTTGTGAGTCGCTCAGCCTGGCGGGGCAGCCAGGCCCCCAGCAGCTCCTGCCTGGCAACTGAACCAGGGTCGGGATGTCTTCTGGAAATTCAGCTTGAGAAACACCAATTCTTTCTAAAGACTTGGGGGAATTCTTCCCTTTTCATTTCAGTTTGAAATTGCCATGTAGATGAAAATCGCAAAAATGCAAATACTTTTCTTCTTGTAAGATGCACACACACACACATACATATGATGCATAAATAGGTTGTACTTGTGGGTTTAGAAGAAGCTACATGAGACAGCAACATGTAGGGATCAAAAGCACAAGGCATAAAAATTCACCATTTGGAGGCTTGTGCCCTGTTAAGCTCCTTGTGAGGTTAGGAGGACTGCCCCCAGGCTTCAGAGTTTTTCTGTCTGAACTGCTTTGGATCACTTGCCTTTGTTTTGGGCAGAAAGCCTTTATATTTGTGCGTGTGTGTCTATCACCTATTGTCTTTATTTGTATATATGTATATGTTTGTATGAATATATATATAAAAAAAAGAAATCTACAAACAACTTTCTTGTTTGTTTTTCTCTCCTAGATTACTCCTTGACCAGTGCAGACCTGTCTGCCCTGCAGGGGTTTAACTCCCCAGGGAT